AAAAATTCATATTAGTGGCCAGCGGGATTTAAAATGATGAATTTAGTGGTCCATGAGGTCCGAAAAGTTGGCGACCGCTGCTCTACGTGTCTCAGCAATGTGTCTCTGCAGCTTAGCAGCTGTCCAAGTTCCCTGTTGGTGGGTGCCTCAGCTCTGCTGCTCTTTGATGTAACTGCCTTTCTGTATGTGAAGCTCAATGTAAAAAATAAATCGAGACAACTGGACTTGCTGTATTTTTCTTGAAGACGTTTCACTGGTCATCCGACCAGCTTTCTCAATCCAGAATTCCAACCCTCTTCCATATTGAACACATAATTCCCCAGTCGGAGGACGGTGGAGCAGAAGGAACACTTGAAGCATTCTCGGTGGAAGAAATGTCCCTCGGCACTCAGGCGCTCCACCACGTAAACTCTTTTCTTGCAGAAATAACACGTGTCGCTCCCACCGATATTCGGAGGAAACTCCTTCCTCAGGGATCCCTAGAAATGACAAGAAACAAAAAATATTTGTGGACTCTGCCTCTACAAACTGTTATAGCAGTTTTTTGTTAATGACCATTTAATGACATCATGACAAAAAAAAGAAAAAATTAAAACATTTTCTTTTTTTTATGTGTGTTAGGAAAACATGAAACATTGTAAATTGATTGATTTATTTTAGCCAGCAGATGGCGCTCCCTGCCTATTCCCATGTTTTCTTTTTCTTTAAACTTTGCAACTTGCTGTTTACAGTCCTCAATAGCTAAAGTTGAAATTTACACATAGTTGAAGGACTCATTGCAGTGACTCTTCCTTTATTGTATGCAGTGACATCACAAGGGGGGTGCGACACGCACCCGGGTGACACCGTTGGGGGGGTGACACCAAAAACGACTGACAGTCATTCTGGTGTCACTCCCTCTAAAAAGTCGGTCACTCGGTCATGGAGCAGCATGGACATTCACACTGATTATGAGCATGATGCAGTTCACATTCACGTGTATTGCATAAAACATTAAACACTTGAAATGTATGCCTGTGTTGGGGAGACAGCATAGCGCCTCTGCTGGACTACAGAACTCCGCCGATCCCCGCCCTTCTTGGTACCTCTCCACAAGCATACAGTCAGTTTTATCCCTGGACAACAGTGCTTCTGCCTTGACTCCCAACAGCCTGTCCACCTACTACGTGTAGGAAAAGGGCTCTTGGGCGATGTAGTTCTGGAGGCTTGCCTATGTCAAAGAGTGGTGGGGGGGCGGGGGGGGTGAGGGAAATTTGGGTCATGCCTGCATATACACTTTCAGTTCCTCTTGAATTACAGCATGATAGAAGACCTGACGTGTTTCTGATACTGACACAGACCACCCACCTTGTGCGCTGACTTCATTACAGATACAATAGATGAAGGAGGAAAGAATAGTAGAAGTACCTTCTGGGAAGGAGAGACAGGAGGAGGAGAAGAAGAGGAAGGAGACTCAGCAATGGACGCAGTCACCTCTACATCCGGTGAATTCTGAATTTAACACAAAATGTCATTATTCACCTGCTAAGACACACGAGGAAAACAAATTGTCTCATTGTATCAGAAGTCTGTTATTCTTTTATATTCATAAATCATACCACCCAAGATTCACACAGCTTTCACACAAGTGTCACTCCTTTTAATCAGATTCATTTACAAAACATGTGAATCCTTGTTCTAAAGTGGTATGAATCTTGCATAAAAACATTTATCAGTAGACCCCAAAGTGACTGTCATGCCAAAACCCAAAAGAAGGGTTGAGACCTTGGTGCTGTCACGCTGGAGAGATTTCCTTTCATTTCCTTAGATATTCAACAGGAAATTATAGGAGATCTTCCTAAAGTGATTGGAAATTCCTATCTTAGACTCTTATTACATAGTTACATAGTATTTAAAGGAGAACTATGCTTTTCACTCACCTCATAGTTCTAGCCGACGCTACAGTAACACTTTCTTTATAGTAAATATAATACTAAATTCAAATGGGTTTGCTGAAAATATATAAGAGTTTCTCTTTAAAGGAGAACTATGAGGGGGGGGGGGGGGCTTTTCACTCCCCTCATAGTTCTAGCCGACCTGTGACAATGAGACTGTCACAGGACGGCTCAGTAGATCGGGAGGTGAGCGAACACATACCGGCGTTCGCTCACCTCTCGATCCTGTCACGGCTCTCTGCCGTGACAGGGGAGGGGCTGGATTCCCCCCTCCGATCCGCCAGCGCTGACTGGCGGATCGGACATAATTGTCGGGATCCGCTTCAGCTGCGGCATCTCAGTATACGGCGAGCTGTATATACTGAGCTTTGGGTGACGGGAGGACACTAGTTTGTGTCCTCCCGTTACCCTAAGGAGAACTATGGGGAAAAGCCCTGACCCTATAGTTCTCCTTTAAGGTTGAATAAAGACACAGGTCCATCAAGTCCAACATTTGTGTGTATGTGTGTGATTGTGCATTTGTATATGTGTGTCAGCAGAACATGTGTCCCCATTGGAGGGTTTACCGTCGTCTCTTCTTCTGGTGACAACTCAGAAATGTTGGTTTTCCCCTCATTTTCTCGAGTTTACTTACAACTGAGTTTTAGAATCTTGGGAAGATTGCGACTATTCTCTTCAATTATCCAATTATATGAAGCGCAAACTTCTTTTCATTTTGAATGCCCAATTGTGTGTAAATGGATTAACAAACAGGAATTAGCTTTTCACATGAAGTGAATATTAACTATTTATTGTGAGAAGATTCTCAACTCTTTAAGTTTCCCCGTCTTGGTAGCCAAGGCCATCATGACAAAGAGGGTGAATCTTTCCAGACAGCAATGAAGACTTGACAGAGGGTCCAATCCTTTTCCCACCCCCATACAGCACTACAAAAAAAGGTTTTACCGTAAGATACACTTTATGCTGACAATGTTTCTAGACTGCTCCATAGTTGACTTGCTCCTGGTTGAGCTTTTGGAGCTGTTTTACGACTGGCTGCCTTATGGGAAGCAATTATAAAACAGTAATGGAGGGATCGCTTATAACTTTCATAAAAGGAGAACGTTGTCAAGAGACTCCTTGAAACTGTCGCAAGCTATGAATGTTCTGTAAACAGGATCAATCTATCATTAGTTGCTGGGGCCTTTAACATTGGTCATGGGGATGAGCTTGACTGTCTTGGGTCCGGTTATCAGACACTGAGGTCCGTGCCAACCAGTCCACCACCAACCCATAGTGCCCAACAGAAGGGAACCTTCATCGGCTTTACATTACTAGCTCTCTTATTCCAACCGAAAGCCTTTTACATGCCGTAAAGAGCTTTCTTTTGGCACAGGGGAACTATTAGTGTAAAGCCAATGATGGCGTCCCTTCTGTTGGTCACTATGGGTTGGTGGTGGGCTGGATGCCATAGACCTCAGTGTCTGATAAACAGACCCAAGACAGACAAGCTCATCCCCATGACCAATGTCATTGAATCCAGGCCAATCAAACCATACATGCACCTCCCAAGTTTGCTAGGAGACCTATAGGCAAACTGGCCAATTGGTACCCTACCAAGGGTGTGCCACGTGCCAACCAACCGAACTTCCTATATGGCACATGTGCAGCTCTAATGGCCCAGATCTGCTGACAATTGGCATGGTGGTGAGCTTACAACGTGCTGCTCCTCCAGTGGTAAGGACCTTGATGACCAGCTAAATGTTGCATTGTGTCACAGAAGAGACCGGCCCCTGCGGGACAACACTCTATTTTGGTGGTGGGGTTGCTAATTATGACAGTAAGTGCCCCTTGCTAACATTTTGACAATCGCCTCTGAATGAAGACTCTTGTTAGAAGTGAATCATAAGATTATTTTTGTGTCGGCGATCTTTTCATGTGACAGCCGACATCGTTTTTCTTTAGTTAGTAATCGTCATGCGTTGTGGCGGAATTCTACTGCTTACCAGCTCTGAGGATCTTGTCTTACTTTTGTGATCGCTCATATAAAGGCATACGAGGGCTTCAGCCACAGCTCCTACTCGGCTGGACACATTCCCTACCGTCGCCTAATCAGCAGAAAGAACAGAGAGGAAATGAGGGAGGAAGAAGAGGACAAAGATATAATTATAGCAGGCAAAGGCACAAGGGGTGTCCCAGGTTATAGCAAGCTAATGATGGGGAAATAAAGCCAAGCTATCGCTTAAAACAGCCATTATTTATCAAATGTGGTTAGCTGTTCCAAGTGAATGACAGTCGAAACAGCCAGTCAGAAACAGCTGGAAAGAAGAAGGCCATTGCGTTTTCAAGAGAGCACTTGAAGCAGTTTCAACTTAGCTGGATTGAAAAAAAAAAAAGATAAGTCTTTACATAAGATATCAAATTATATAAAGATAAATTAATGATTTTGATGGACTCAGTGATGTTCCAACCTAATCCCAGAGCCAGTCCTTGGGAGTAGGCTGGATCTTAAGAAAGCGCTGAAAATCAAAATGGCTGATTTAAAGGTATTCAACAAACACCCCATGAGAGATGTATTTTTGATAGCGCTAAGCCTAGTGCTCCTTGCAAACACACACTCCATGCATCACACCAAAAAAATAGTGGATCAGTGTGCACTGGTGTCCATGAAAAACAAAGGTTTGAAAGGGGGGGAAATCACGAACACTACCACAAATTACAAGTTTCCCGCATTTGGGGAAATCGCTAGACATGTGCGATTCGTTTCGTTACGAATCGAAATTCGTACGAATTTTCCTGAAATTCCGAATTTCGGAGCATCCGAAATCCGAATGGCAGTTTCCGAATTATATCCGAAATACGAAATTCGTTAACGGAATTTCGGATCTGAATTTCTTTGAAACAGGAGCTAATATTACCCCTGTAAATGAGGTTGAACAACATGACAAGATTTTTTTTTAATCCGAAATACGGATCCGCTGCTGCTGAGGGTTGCATTACAATACACAGGCAGGAAATACGAAATTCCGTTTACGTATTTTCGTTCCGTTACGAACATTCGTTATATATTGAAGTTAAAAAGTACATTTGTATTGGAGTTGATGGTATTTTTTTAAAGTCCGAAATACGAAATTCGGATACGGAATCCGTTAACGGAATTCGTATTTCGTTTTGGTTGACCAATCAGAGGTTCTCTTATGCTGCTGACAGTTGCATTACAAATACAGGCAGGAAATACGAAATTCCGTTGACGTATTTTCGTTCCGTTACGAACATTCGTTATATTGAAGGTAAAAAGAAAATTACATTTATATTGGAGTTGATGGTAGTTTTTTTAAAAGTCCGAAATACGGAATTCGGATATGGAATCCGTTAACGGAATTCGTATTTGGATAAAAAAACAACTACCACATCGACTCCAATATTAACAAAGGTATTTTTGCTTTTTAACTTCATCATAACGACTGTTCGTAAAGTTACGAAAATGTGCCGAAACTAACGAAAATACGTATTTCGTACGAATCCGAATTGAGTTTCGGATACGAATTACGAAATACGAAATAATGGATATTACGAAACGGAACGAAACGAAACAATTTTTTTGACGGCGCACATGTCTAGAAATCGCTGGGTCAGGACACCCGGAGTGCAATAGAGGGGACAACCTCCATGATCATGGTATCTCCTCTGCCAGGTAAGTCTAATCCATAGGCTTTAAAGAGGATTATTCTGTTATATCTAACAACTCATTGGCAATGACAAACAGGTCACAGCTCACTCATAAGATCTACCAAGCCATCTGCCTACCTTTAATTGTTGTCCTTTATGACTCATGTACAGTTTTTTATTGTGATGGGTTCAAATTTCCTCATAAGAAATCCCCTCGGGAACTTAATTGTCTACATTGTCTTTGCATGCTGTAGCATCAACAGTATCTTTCACTGGAAACTCAACACCCATTATGCTTGCACTGCCTGATTAGAATGTGCAGATACTTCCGTGTGCATAGGCTGGGCACAGGTTCACTTTAAGGATGACCAAATTATTTTTTTTATGAGCAATCTTAAATCCTGTCCAAACTCTTTTTGACCATTTTTGACAAACTGTTCAACAAAACAGTTTTTGCCTAGTGTACCAGTAAAAAGCACTTTTTACTTACTCTATGCGTTCCATTTGCACTGGTTCCCCCAAAGCATCTTCTGTGCTCTGGCCAGTGGTCACAGCTGTGATGTCATCCCTACAGTAGTCATGCACTTCAAGTGAGGATGCCAAGGGCCTTCTGCCTGGGGAGCAAGGGGAGCTAGACAACCCTAGGCAAAAACAGGGAAGCCCACCTACTGGTACCCTAGGCAAAAATAGGGGGAGCCCAACATGTGGTACCCTAGGCACAAATGGAGGAGCCAAACTACTGGTACCCTAGGCAAAAACAGGGGAAGCCCACCTACTGGTACCCTAGGAACAAATGGGGAAGCTCAACTATTGGTACCCTACTAAAAAATAGGGGAGGCCAACTACTGGTATCCTAAGCAAAAACAGGGGGAGACAACTACTGGTACCACAATGCCTATAGCTACAGAGGTGAATGAGGTCTTGTATTAAAGTGCTTGCACTACTTGTTCAGAATGTGCAGATACTTCAGTGTGCATAGACTGGGCACAGGTTCACTTTAAGGGAGAGAAATGTAATTTTTTTATGAGCAATCTTAAATCCTGTCCAACCTCTATAAAACATTTTTACAAACTGTTAAACAAAACGTCCCAGTCACTTCCCCCCCCCCCGAGAGCGTGGCATCCCTGGGAACAGATGTCAGATATTACAGCATGGCTTGTAAGCTGTGGAATTTCCTTAGATTAAGGCATCCCAGGAATTTCGGAATGATGATTAAACTATGAGTCTTCCGGATCTCTGATGGCTGAAGATCTCCAGTATTATCAGAAAGCGGGTATTGAAGCAGCGTCACCTTCTTGTCCACATTTTTCTCCCGACTTGGGGAATATTAATTTTAGATATGTTGTTAAAGGACCGGTTCTCTTTCCACCGACAAAATAAAAGAATGATCCTTAACCAGAGGGAGACATTTTTTAGGGTCCTGGAGAATTTAAATAAATGACTGTTTATTCTTTTTTATGGAAATTTGCTTGTATAGGTAAAACAGAGCTGGCCAAAATCCGCAGTGGGTGCCTGTTATACACCCCCAGGGGTTATTAAGGTCCTTGGACCACAGCTGTGGAATTGGCTTACTTTCTGAGGTAACGGTATCAGCTCGCAGCTCTACCTCCGATGCCCAGGTTGTTGATAAGGCCTGGAGAGAGCTGCTTTACATCATACCCCGTTTAGCCCCCTCAACCTGCTCTTTCCACTTAAGGTTTTCCACCTGTAATTATGCCGACAGTATACACAGAGGGACTCCTAGGAGGCGGGGTAACTGGTTACCAAGCATACAGTGGAGCAGTCCTTTGGTTATGCTATAGATTAAGGTTGCAGTACAACAAGCATTTTGCGTAGGAATGCAGCTATGTGTTAGGTTAAGTTGCACACACAATACAGGTGAGGATGCATACAGTTATGCGTTAGGTTCAGTAGGCATAGGGTTAAGCTTTAGTTTACGGTTGCAGTGACACAAGAAGTGACGTAGGCATACAGCTATGCTTGGGTTAAGTTGTAGTACTGAATACAGTGGATAAGCATACAGTTATGCGTTAGGTTCAGGAGGCGTAGGGTTAAGGTAGAGTAGACTGCAGTAATGAATACAGCTGATTAAGCAGATAGGAATTGCTGTGGAGATCCCCCTACCGTAGCCTTATGGCTATGGTAGAATACTTGCTGTTTGTGGCTATGACAGGTATGGATGGACGTCTGCCGCAATCTCCTTCAGTGTTGGATCCTGGAGCAGCAGGGCTGTCGGTTGATCAGCGTCCTGCTTCAACAATAGTGGGACGCCGATCAAACGGTGGATCGCGGCTTTATGCCGACTACTCGGGTGAGTGGGCGGAGTCTCGAGGCGCACCTGCGCATTGATACTGCCGGACGCCGTACGAGAGTGGGAGGAGTCCCACAGCGCGCCTGCGCAGTGGTGTGTACGGCTCGTTGTCCCGGCCGAGGGGTGTGAGGAGTATCACAGTGCCGCTGTTGGCACCCTTTCAGCTGGCATCCCTCGATCAGCTGATCGAAGGAGCCGGTCGGGAAGGCTTTGAATGAACAGAGCCGGCTCTGTTTGGGTATTCTGACAGCGGCCACCAGCAAAACACCGGGAGATTCCTCGGTCAACACTCGTAAGCGTTGATTGAGGAACTTTTTATATTTTCTCTGTTGATACGGCAGGTTGAGCAAAGAAAATATTACAGTGTATGGCCAGCTTTATTATTATTATTACACAGGATTTATATAGCTCCAACAGTGTGCGCAGCGCTTTACAATATAAGGAAGACATTGCAATCACAATACAATTCAACACAAGATGGTAAGGAGGGCCCTGCCCCTGAGGGCTCACAATCTAAAACGGAGGGGCAAGTAATACATGAGGAGGTAGCTGTGTGGGGATGAATTGCATGGGAAAGTGATGGTTGCGCGGTTAGGTTGAGCTGCGATCGGCTTCCCTAAAGAGATGAGTCTTAAGGGATCGCCTAAAGGCAGACTGGGTGGGAGATAGACGGACAGGTTGGGGTAAATAGTTCCATAGGATGGGAGAGACTCTAGTGAAGTCATGGAGGCGAGCATGGGTTAAATTTGCACCACTTTATAGCCACTAGAAGGAGCCTTTTCTATGCTCCTCGGCTCCCTCTAGTGGCCATCTTGTGGTGTGAATCTAAAACCAAGACGTTTGCAGAGTGAACTACTCTGCGATTGTTTTATAAATACACCTCTTAGTGTAACAATGAGGCTCATATGTAGTTAATAATCTCCTCACTGGATCAGCCGGGTCAGAGAATTCGGGAAGTCCCCATAAGCAGCAGATGACGAGCCCTTTTGATGTTCGGAAACGCTTGTTATCACACCCATAATAAGCCTTAAATAGCCTGATTTTCACCCCAGCCTTGTGTCAGTGCTGGAATCAGACTGTTTATACCAAATCTAAATCTATTGTGAATTGTTAGCTCTCCTGCCAAAT